ACTGTCATTCTCCAGGACAGACACTTTCCTTCGAGTTCTGCGAAATATTTAATAACACTACTCACTTGAGAGATGGGGGTATTGAGGTTTCGCATGATTCGTAGGCGGATCGCAGCCGTTTTCCACGAAAACCACTTTTTATCCCAAAATACCCACACACGATCCGAGGGCGAGTGGGAAGTCCTCGAGTCAATGAGAGTCGACGAATGCGTTCCCCTGTCTCCTCCGCAGGCCTCATGCTGCTCTTCTGGAATGCGGTAGGTTTGCATGAGGCGCAGGGGGTGAAGTTGGTTCCACCATGAAAGGTTCAGCTCGAATTCACTGCATCGGAAAAGTGGGAACACAGGGACAAATTTTACGTCATTTGATTTGTGATATTAACTCGAAATCCTTTTAAATGTCTACAACAGTATCCCCAGTTGATAAGCTAATGCGAACTATTTTGGTAAGCATCATAAAATAAAACATACAAGGTATAAGTGGAAATCGTTCTTGCAAGAAATTGGTGAATATGAGAACAATTTAAAGTGTGGAAGTTTTAGTTTTTTCGTTCTAAGTTGAGAGGAAAAGTGTCTAGTCTGCCCTCCATGGTTACTAGATTTTTGGGCTTAGAATTAAGCCAAGTCTGTCCTCGGAATGTAAACTCTGCAATACCGCGTAATTCTTAAAGCCCATCTACATGTTTTATACTCCATGTACAAAGTTTGACGATCCTTGCGGCAAATGAGGGACAGTAATTTGAATGATTAGGTTACCATCTCCTTTCTGATGTTATACCCCAGAGTTCATTTCGTAATCTTGGAAAGTCCTTATATTGATGCTTTCTGATATTAAACAAGCCACTTCCCCCCTTAGCATGTCTTATTTTTTAGGCATTCGCGCTGCTATCTGTCAGGTTCTTATCTAGCCCATTCCATCGATGGACGGTTACTTTCAGGCAGCTAGATTTTAGAGTACCCCAACACCTCTCGCGATTGCTAAGTTCTAATCTAGTACCAACAAGACCTTCTAGTCCAAACCCAATTGGTTTCTGCAAATTGCTCTAGTGGACCTCTGTGTTTTAAAATGCCCATATCCCCTTCAATACCGGCCTTCTCACGTCCACAAACGTAGAACACAACAAATATGATCTGGGCTACTTAAGCAGCAGCTGACAACATTCAGAATGCGTGCAAATGTGACCGTCAGTCTGTGCTCCTTAAACTCTCTAGTTTCAATTTTAATGCGTTTAGATAACCATGAAAATATTATAAGGCACCTAATTACTTGCGTATTTTTCCGTTGCTAACTGACTGACTAACCACTGTTTACCTCAGAAGGCCTTCTCTGTAGCGAGCCAGTTGAACATGACATTCATCCAATCGAGCGTGCTCGGCTAAAGTGAAACTCGCCGAATTTATGTGAAAAAGTTGGAAGTGACAGTTCATCACAATTTTTTTAATCGTACCCGGGAAAATCTATTTAAAGCAATTAATTTCGGACTTGATATGCGTTTAAGTTTTGTAAATGGTTCTCGAACATCATTACTTCATGCAATGCCCTTAAGAGGTATTCCTAAATATTGTACTCGTCAGCTCAACTAAAACCTGTTTAAGCGAACTATACATGACAAAAACTGCAAAAAGAACATCATTCCGTGGGTTCACGCTAATCTCTAGGGCTTCAGGGAACAAATAAGAACGCAATTTTGTGGCGAGGAACAGATAAACGTTTAATATGCCGTGGTGCAGGGAGCTTGGACTGACAAATCTGGGAAGAAGGATATAGCAGCTGTGCTATGTTTATCCGTGCCAGTATCTGACAAGCCATGGCCAAACAAAAACAATGAGACACATTACGAGACTGAACGGGTTGTTTAAGTGAATTGAAGACTTTCAATTTGGCACGAGCCCAGGATTGGGTCGATGTTATTGAATGACGGGAAGATGCCACTGCCCCTTTCTTTTTCAAGCACTGACTCCCGTCCCGTAACTATCCTTGTCGCAGACCGTCTCGCTTCCTCTCACTAATTGTCAACATCCCCATATCCCGCCCTTGCAGTTGCCCACAGCGCTGCGCCCCTATCGGTAATACAACATACATGAGAGTATGCCCCCTCGCCCTTCAGATGAGGCATATATACACGTAAAAGGCTCTTCCTTGTGGGCAGATTAACATTGCCGGAAAAAATAATGAAGGTTGTAGTGGGCATCTGTGGCTCATTAGTCTTTATAAGCCAGCTGTACCCAGCCTCAGCCGGTCTACCAACCGGGGCTCGAAACCGCCACCCATTGATCACAAGGCCAACTCTCTAATAATTGGGTACTGTTCATCTGCCCAAACTACTAGTTACTGTGAGGATGCTGACAGGGCTCGAGAGTGAG